AGCACAAACAAGTGCCAAAGTTAAACTTTTCGAAAAATAAGTTTCCCATATGGTGCGCACTTTAATGGTGACACTGTATATAATCAATTATTACATTACTGAGAAAAAAATTCCCACCTTACGCCGCATACATAAAAAATTCGTTGACGAAAATGGTTACAAGAGATCTTGTGAGTCTCTGAGGAAAATGATGAAAGAAATATGGTTCAGTTGGAGGAACACGAAAAAAAAAAGAAAATTGCTCATGGAAAAACCAGCCATTCAGCAGCACCATTCAGCAAGAACTACCGTGAGGAAGTTCGAACAATAACTTATATAGATGAAACATATATCCATGCTTCATATACACATTTAGAAGGGCAGAAACTTATAATTATTGTAAATGTAGGAGAAAATGGATTTGTGAAAAATTTATATCTAAAATTCAAATCCAACACAAAATCGGGCGACTATCATAGCGAAATGAATAACGACAATTACAAAAAGTGGTTGCAAGAAATTTTTATCACCAATCTTTCAGAAAAAAGCGTTTTGGTTACAGACAATGCCCCACACCACAATGTTCAGTATGAAAAGTGTCCAAATATGTCCTCGAGGAAAGATGAGATGAGAGAATGGTTAATACGACGGAACATTTATTTCACGGATGATACGCTAAAAATTGATCTCTATTCCATCATTAAAATCCATTGACTACGACTCAAGTTGTACGAAATTGATAGGATTATGGAAAATCATAAATATACTGTACTTAGATTGCCTGCTTATCATCCAGATTTGAACCCAATAGTTAGTATGGGCATCTCTGAAACAATATGTGGCTGATGAAAATGTGGACTTCAATTTCAAATCCGTTGAAAGTTTATGTGACGAACTCTTCACTTCGTTTTCTCAAGAGCAAAGAAAAAAAACGTTGCTAACACGCTGAACGTTTCGAAGAATTTTATGTTTCGTAGGAACTTGCTCTTGATTTCGCCATAGACGAAATTATTATAAATTTTCAAGGTGATAGTGACAACGATAGTACCAGTGAGGATAGTGATAACTCTACAAGCGATTCCGATCTGTCTGTAGTTGAACTTTTGTAATTTTCTGATCATAACTTCAATTATATTTTTGTTAATAATGTTTTAAAGAAAAAAGTTGAAATGAGTTTAAAATGCGTTGTTTTAGAGCTTTTTTATAAAAACTACTTGATTTTCGGCTGGAGGAACATTCCCCACGCAACATCTGGCATAGAATGAATCTGAAACCAAAGCTGAAACACTGCCTCGACGTGCGTTACGCTAACCAAATTGGCATCATCAGGAGATTAACCAGTGATTTGGTTCTAGTGTGGGAAAAGTATTTTCATTGATTTCAATACAATGACTTTCAATCAAGGTCAATCAATATTCTATTTTTGAAAGTAAATGTTTTTTACGCCAACAATTAATTTTCGTCCAAAAATTTTAATGGACGACGCCGACGGAGAAGCTAAACAAATTCCAAAAAATTCTAGTAGAACTTAAGGTATATATTTCTATACACGTTAATGAGCAACATTTTGAAAATTTAATAAGGGAATAATAATCCTGATTTTCATTTTACATTGCGTACCTCGCGTGAAGAAAATTGAAATAGTATTAATGTTCATATTTTTCCAAAACTAATCATGAGGAATTATGGATGAAACAAAAACAAACACAGTAATTCAAAATGCAGTTTATCAAGTCTAAATCCAAGGGTTGTCTATTCAAAAACCACTGGATCAATTGCTAAATCCCAATTACCATCAAAACACATACCCCTACCTGTGAAATGTGAATACATGATAACCTGAATTGGTTGAATTTATTTTTCTATCAACTCTTTGCATTCCGTTATTTTTCAACATTCATACCGTTAATATTATTTTTGAGTAGTTATCTGAGGCTGATTGAATTTTAAAATTCAATAGATATTTCAAAGAGATACTTCGAGCGGACATTAGAATTTTTGGCGCAGTCGGTAGCATTTTCAGAATAATAATAATGAAAATATCAATTGTATGATACTGAACGTGCATCACAAAAGCTGGGAATTCGGTTATGGCCGTCCATCCTTCGCCCATAATCACTAAATCAACTAATAACATGATGATAGATACATTGCACTGAACTTAAATATAATACTTCAACAGTTACAATAACTATTAAAACAGATTCCAAAGATTTGAGTTTGTCTATACTGATATTCAAATCCACCCAGTTATTAGGGTGTAAATGAGCTAGGATTCTCGATATAATTAACTCGTACAGAAATGATAGATTTTGAGAGGAGAATGACATTATGTGATCTTAATGAGGAATATTGCAAGCGAATCTTCAACAAGTATTTCAAATGTTCTCTATTTTATATTATTGTGGATTTTTGAAAAAAAAATTATGCCATATGGCAATGTGATTGATTTTATTTCAGTATTTTTATTTAGTTCGTATTTGAAATGATACAAATACAAATACTAGGTATTTATAAAATATTCCTATAGAGTGTTTGCTTGAGGAGCCCATTTCACGGGTGAATTCTTCACAAAAACTACAGATAGATCATCTATGTTTCTCTGGTTCGATATAGAGAACCGTACTCTTATTGGTGTTGATCAATTTTGTTCACACACCAACATTTTCAGTCTAGATTCGAATTTGTACAGTTCATATTCTCTTCAATGTTCGACATGCATTCAAGATAATCGTTTATTTGCATATCATTTGCATATTAGTAGATTTTAGATACGTTGAGAAACGTTTAGATAGGTTGAGATTTGAGATACGTTGACGACACCTACATAATATGGAACCACAGGAATACAAAACTTGACACCTTTCTGAATCACATCAACAGCGTAAGATCTTCCATCACCTTCACAATGGAAAAAAGAAGTCCAAAGCGAATTGCCAGAATTGCACGTATTGGTGATGAAGACCGACACTAAGTGGGAAACATCTGTATGCCAAAAACCCACTCACACGGGACAGTACCTGAATCACGAATCCAACCACCATCAATCTTAATCATCAAGACTCTAGTGGACCGTGATTTCGGGTTTTTTATACGAAGGAAGGTCTCAAGAAAGAACTAGGCATCATCAAAAAAGGTGTTCAACGAAATGGCTACTCCAAAGTGATGATAGAACAGACTTTGGCTAAAAGACAGCAGGAGCCTCGCAAGGAAGAGAAGCCGTCACAACCAGTTCTTGCACCTCCCTACATCAGAGGATTATCGGAAAGGATAAGAAACACCTCACGCAAACCTGGCCACCAAACGCGGACTGTGATTTCAAGAATTGCATTTACCGGATACCCTGTGAGTGCGGCAAATCCTACGTCGGTAAACGGTAACGGGCCATTAAAAGTCCGCATTGTGGTCCGCATCGAGTGGTCCCAAGCTGAGATCATCCACATGGAGGAACACTGGTTTAGGACAAAATTCAAAAAAGCTGCATACATGTTGTCCAACGACGCATTCAGCCAAGCTAGCGTAGAGATACACAACATATGGAAACCCATAATAAAGCGGAAAACGTTCAACTCCCGCCAAACGGTCGTCACCCGCTAAACCGGTGAAGCGGAGAAAGGGAAGAGGAGATATATGAAAGCACTCAAATAAACTATAAATAGTCATCTCTCGGAGGAATAGGTCCAGTCATCACCCGAAGACGATTGTGGATGCTAACAATCAAAAAGTCGTGAAGTAACTTGGCTAGAAATCTTTGAATATTTTCATTTTTATTTCATTTCAACTATTCAATTTTGAATTATTTTGCTTAATTTTTATTTTGTTGTAATTTTTTTCAGGTTTTTTTGCTCAATATATGTGTTATTTTCAGCTATTCTTATTTTAATTTTCATTTGTTATTTCAGAGATTTCAAATCATATCATATTAGACAATAGAAGTCCGAACTAATGAAATGGACTTTAAATGTTTAAAAGTGAATATGGCAAACAGAAATGGGCCAAAAAAACTAAAATGAGGAACTTCAGAAAATGTTATTCTCAACCCCGAAATTGAATCATTATCGATCCTAACTGCAATAATTAACTGAATCCAATGCCTGGCTCTGATCCAAAAGAACTAGCCTAGTACAATGTGATTCACCTCAGGCTATACCACTACTTTCAACAGAGCACTGTTGGTACTATATTTTTGTCTGAATCCCAATTATCCATTCAAATATTCAATTTACTTGTGATGAAACGATTTTTTCGAATATTTTTGCAAATGCAAGAAATATGTTAATGGGCCTCAAATCGTTGACAATAGATGGATTAGATATCTTAGCAATGGTAATAATCTATTTATTTACATTATGAATGGACTGACCCTTTACTTGATGAGAATTAATAACACTATCCATGATAATGGAGAACGATTACGATTTCAACACTATCTACTCCATGTAGAAGCTAAGGGACAGAAGTTCAACCGCTAGAGTCTCTGGAAATAAATGAGTGTTAGCGTTCAGGTTCCTTACTGAACGACCAACAAGAGGTGGACTATTCACCATTGTTGAGCCTTTTGTCATAACCGACCTGAATTTTTGAAACACATCCAGTATGTGTGTTCATGTAGACTGTCGAATGTGATATCTGGACATTTCGTTATTTTGACAAAAAAGGAATTAGAGCTATCACAGTTTGGGGCGAGAGTTTCATAGTTAATTTCAGATTTTGAAAAAATTGTTTTCTGAAACGTCGACCACTCAAAGAGCTAAGTATCAATATTCATTTTTTTCAATAGTAGTAGTATGAATACGACGAGTTACTGACTAATTGGACTTTTTAATGGTTCATATTACGCAGTAACTTTTCGGGGTGAACTTTTGTTTGCCCTTTTATTAGCTTTTATTTTTTAGGTTGCGGAAGGTTATGAACCTAAAAGACAGTAGAGTCCTCCACAAAAAAGTGTCTTTCGAAGAACCAATAATTTTATTCATATTCAAAAATTGACCTGGTGTCCAAGAACTGATATTATAATTAGCTTATACATTATAGCTGTTATCACTTTCACTATTAACCAATTGAGTTAGGTACCTACTAGTGTTGTATATAAGAGTTGTAGCCCAGTCTATAATTTTCATTTCTACCGAGGATGCTACGGTGGTAGCAAAACGCGTCTAGAAATAAAAATTGTTATTGAAAATTGTTTAAGAAATATTGCTTCCTTCATCAATACAATGTGGAAGTGCTGTGCTATCATCTTCATGGGTCTACTCAAACTGAACATTTTATCTTTCTGTTTGTTCTTTCATACGGTTTAGAACACCTTCGTGCTGTATAATAATGAAAATTGTATCCATCAACTCTCCCTTCAGGGCCAAAGATTATCAAATCATCATGGCCATTGAAAAATGACATTTATGTGAAGGTATGGCATTTGTTAAACCAAAAAATCCGTTAATGTTTGACTTTCTTTCGTCAATTTATTTGTTCAATTCATTGTTTTTTACTTATTTTTACTGTAAGTATGATTTGTAAGGCAAAAAAAGATTCATTGGCAAAAAAATCCAAAACTCAATAAATTATAGTCAATCAAAACAATGGCAAAACTACATGAATTAAACTCCCACACCACCGTATTCGCCAGATTTAGCTCCCAGCCACAACTGGCTGATTGCAAACGTCAAAAAAAATGCTAACCGGTAAGAAATTTCGCTTGAATGAAGAGGACAGTATTCATATAGTGAATTATTTTTGTATATCCTGAAGGGATTTGGCAGAGTTTTCGATGGAAGCACCGCCGCCCCGACTTCGTACAGGTAATTATATTTCAATCAATGTAAACAAAACATAGGTAATCGAATTACACACAAAAACAATTCTGAGTTTATTTCGTTCAGACAGATAGAGACGGTGAGGGGACTTTATTTCATAATATGTAGCGATTCATCAGCTTCACACGTAAATTAAACAGTATCTTCTGAACAGAAGTATAACAATAAGTTACTATAGAAAACTTCATTACTTTTTTGCCGCAGTTTATATTCGATAAAGAATAAGAGAACAAAACAAAAACGAGGAAACGATCCAATTCGATGACTGCAGTAACAGAAATTGTGAGACGCAAGCAAAAATCAAAACATCAAGGAACAATGCGTTTATTTCCTACACAAGCGGATTTTGTGCGAAATGGAGTGGTAAATAGATCTGCGAAAAAATCAATATCTCAACGTTTATAGGTCGGTGGAAATATGGGAACACAAAAGGTTGCATGTTTCACCGGTGCCCATAATTCATGTGAATAGAATTTTTAAAATGTCGGTTGGGAATTTGTAAGATAAAAAATCAATGTCCCAGTGATTTTGACTTCTCGTGAATGTGTGGGAAAGTGAAGGATGCGCCCAGTGTTACTGGAGATACACTGAGAAAGTACTTATAGTCTAGTTTACAAGTTGAAAATGGTGAAAAATAAAGATAATGGACGGAAAAATACGTGCGTGCCTCAGTCAATCCGAAATCTAGAAAAATGTGCTGAAACCGTTTCTTAATAACTTGATAAGAAATTGCAAAAGTTATAGTCAAATCAAGATATAAAAAAGGTATTTAGGTTTTTGCAAATATTTCAAACACTATAAAGAGTTTAAAAATTCAAAATGAAGTTCCTTAAAGAGCAGGAAATCTCAAAAAAGTCCCACGTCTCGAAACTCTCTCTCAATTATTAAGCTCTTTTGAGCTTCCGTAGTTTATACCTACACTCAATAAAATAACTCTTTCTTTTGAAGAGATCATCTGGTTAATTGAAAGAGTGAGATTATCGAGGTTCTTACATATGTTTCTCTCATATTTCAAAATTGACATACTTTATAATAATATACGCAGTTTCAGCTAGCAAGGGAACAACGTACCTTATTTGCTAAAAGAACACATGGTATTTTGGATCCGTCAGACAGCTCTACTTTGCTGTCAAGATCTGATTTCCAGTTCGCTACAGAATCGAAAGTAGCTTTGCGAGTGACATCAAATACTATAAATGCGCCTACTGCTTCTTTGTAATACACCCTAGTCATATTACCATAACGCTCTTGACCTGAAAAATAAAGTAAATGTATTAGAATTCGTATGTCCATTTTTTTCTGAAGATCAATTTCAGTAACATATTTTGAGCCTTTTGAAGATTTTGAAGTGTAGTTTTAAATGTTCCACCCCAAGCTGTTATGCAATATGTTATAATTGATTCGGCTAGTGCATTATATAACATCATAAGCGTTTTAATCGTAAGAATATCTCTCAAGGAATAGAATTTATGAAACAATATTCTATTTTTTTTTTGTAAAATATGTAACGTGATCATTCCATCTTAAATGTTTGTCTATAATAACACCTAAATATTTTATATTGTCAATTTTTTGAATATTTGGACCTTTACAATTCATATTATTACATTGTAAATTATGTAATTTTAGAACAAGTTCTGAAGGTTGATCAATAATAGTTGGAGATGATGTTATGTATTTTGTTTTAGGTAGGTTAAGGCTGAGTAAATTATCATTCAACCACAGTCGCATCTTCTCCAAATCACTTTCTGCAAAACTTTTGACTTCATTCCAATTTTTACCAGTGAAGATCAAAGCGGTATCGTCGGCATAGCAAATAAGGTGTCCCTTGAAGTCTCTGATTTTTGACAAACTATTTATATAGATAAGGAATAGTATTGGGCCTAATACTGTCCCTTGTGGTAAGTACTCAAGTCTCTACAATAAGTTCATTGCTCAAAACTTGACCTATTTTAACTTTTTGAGTTCTATTTGTGATATAGTTTTTAATAAGGTCTAAAGCTACTCCTCGTATTCCATACTTTTCTAATTTAGTGACTAACTTGTGATGCGAAACAGGATCGAAGGCCTTGGCCAGGTCGTTTGAAAGGTCTCTTCATTCTCTATTCAAAAATGTTATCGCTTTCGAATTTATTGCAACAATTGAGATAAAATAAATTAAAATCATGTGGTTACCGAAATTCGATAAAATACACTCAAAACTTGTTGCAATATACTCAAAACTTATTTCATGTTGAGATATTGATAATAAGAAAGTAAGCGAGAACCATAACAATGTTCGTTTCAGATGATATCCTCAAAAAAACTAAATAATTTCCGCTTCGTCAACTTGTTTTGTATGTAACAACATTAGTTGTCAGTATTTTAAATTAAGTTCGTTAACTTCAAGTCTGACAATTAGTTAGATTAACGGAAATGCATAAAATAACAGTTTTACAAATGGTTACAAAGATAAAACCGAACACAACAGGAAGTAGCTCGCCTATTTCATGATGAATTTCCTAATTTACCGCCCATATCTCAAGGAACAATAAGCAAAATAGAGAAGCAGTTTCTCGAGCTTGGTCATGTGGGGCAGATAAAAACAGCAGCTGCCAATGCAATGAGTGATGAACTCAAATTAAATGTGATGCTTGAGTTTGAGGAAAACCCACATACATCGTGTAGACAGGCATCCACTACATTCAATGTTAGCCATAAATCGATAGTAAACATATTAAAAGAAAACAAAATGCATCCCTATAAAATGATACCTACTCAGGAGCTCATGGAAGACGATTTTGATAGAAGAATTAATTTTTGTGAGCAAATGATGGACATGTTGGATAACAATATCATCCAATTAGAAGAGGTTATGTTTTCTGATGAGTGTACTTTGTCTCTTAACGGTCATGCTAATCGGCAAAATTGTCGCTAGTGGTCAACGGAAAATCCTTACTGAAACCTATATCGAGACTGAAGACAAATCGTACTCTAAAAATGGTATCGAAAAATTGTATGACCGCTAAAATCGTTGTACCGCCCTGGAAGGCAACAATATTTATTAGTAAAATCAAATTTTATCTAATTTTATTTCATGTCAGCTTAAGAACTTTTCAGCCCAGCTGTTAAACATCCTCTTCCAGAAAATTAGTTCGAACAATCTGGGAAGAAAATTTTCAACCATCAAAAAGATCCCCACTGTGCTGAATACTACAGGCAAATCCTCCCAAGACGCAGAAATTAAGTCAAGTTCACCATCACTTTTCCCTTAAATTTCATTACATCCAGACTGTCAATGACGTTTATTATGCTTGCATCTTTGTCAGGAGAATGACACTACTGAATAAAACTACCAGCCCTAAGGTATGCTAAAGAGTAGCCCTATACAGTGTGTAAAAACCAAATGGAACAAATTCATTATTTCGGTTACTGTACATTATGTGTGAAGTATGTCAAATTATAATTCAAATTTGAAGTAATTCGTGAATTTTGCTAAAATATATACCGTAACTGAAATAATGAATTTATTCCATTTGGCTTTCACACACTGTATATGGAAGCAATATTGAAAAAAGTCTGATTTGAGTAATTTCATCAACATTGAAAGTTGAACTTTGGGATAATGTTCGAAGCTTCTAAGAAACTATATTGATGCCCCAGTGAAGTGATTGTACCAAGACATTTTGATATATCCTAATTGATACCCAACGAATACACTGACGCAGCAAGTGAAATTTTATAGCCTCTAAAGTCTATTCAAATCCAAGATAGAGTAAAACAAAACCGAAGCGTGATGTTCACGTGATCGCCCAGTGTTAGATGGAAAGGGCAGCGTTCATTGGTGAATTCGCCTTCTTGGTACGAGTTCGGTACCAGCACAGGGTTGTAATCAGTCGTTTGTGTGGCGTGCGTTATAGTATATTGTTTAAAATTGTTTTCCAAGATGTCCAGTACAGACACTACTGATGACACTGTGACCTACTGAGTCCAGCCAGGAAACGATCCAAAAAAAGACATTTGAGTGTTGAGATGAAGAAAGTGATTTTAAATGTGTTCAAGAAAGAGATGGAAGAAATTGAGACATCGACTGTCGACGAAGTCGTATCGAAAGTTTCCGATAAAATTGGAGTGTGTTGCGCTTCGATTTACAATGTTTTACGGGAATATAAACAAAATCATACATTTTCCAAACCGAATACAAATCAGAATCGTCAAACCATTATAAAATCAATAGATGATGCTGATAAACATGCAATCAGGAGGAAAGTGCATGAGTACTTTTTCAGAAATGAAATACCTACGATAGACAAAGTACTCACAGAAATAAATGAAGATGTTTTATTGCCAAGTTTTAAGCGGTCAACATTCCATAAAGTATTGAAACATTTGAATTTTGTATGGAAAAAACGAAGGCGCAATAGTTTATTATTGGATAGAGAGGAAATTGTGTTATGGAGGAGGGAGTATTTGACCAAAATTAAATATTATAGGGAACAACAGAGAACAATTTATTATATGGATGAAACCTGGGTTAATGCTGGTCATATCACCCCTAAAGTATGGGTCAATGAAACTGTGACCTCATCTAGGAGGGCCTTTCTAGACGGACTATCCACCGGATTAACAAACCCATCAGGTAAACTTATATTTATATTAAGACCTGCCTCAATCTCAATTTATAAAAGGTAACCCTCGTATTTGTTTTATTTACTTACATACCTCTTCATAATTTCAGGTAAAGGAAAAAGGCTTATTATTTGTCACATCGGCAATGAGAATGGGTTTTTTGCTGAAGGGCTGTGGTGTTTCGAGTCGAAGAAAACTGGAGATTATCATGAAGAAATGAAAGATTAATCTTTCGAACAGTGGTTTTCCAAAGTTCTACCCCATCTGGAGAATAATGCTGTGATTGTAATGGACAATGCACCTTATCATTCACGACGTTTAGAGAAGATTCCGACAACGTCTTCAAAGAAGGTTGAAATCCAAAATTGGCTGCGATCAAAGAATATTAGCTTTGAAGACTCAATGCTAAGAGTACAGCTACTGAAAATTGTCAAGGAGCGCAAGCTTGAATACCAAAAATATATAGTCGATGAGATGGCAGCAGGCCAAAACAAAATTGTCCTTCGCCTGCCTCCATACCACTGCGAGCTCAATCCCATCGAGTTAATATGGGCGGATGTGAAGAATTTTGTAGCTCAGCATAACACCACGTTCAAATTTGCAGATCTCAAAGTACTTTTTGATGAGGCTTTAAAAAGAGTCACAGCGGAGAAATGGGAGAAGTGTGTTCGACATGTGGTATCGGAAGTCGAGACAAAGATGTGGAAGCTTGATAACATAATAGAGGCACAAATCGAGCCACTGATAATTCAGATTGGTGAGGATGACACTACTGATGAAGAGACAAATTCATCCAGTTGAATAATTTTGATTAATATTCCTTTTGATTTTACATAAAATAAAAATTATCAATAAAGAAATAATTACGTCTCTTTTCATATAATGCTTGAGTGCGCTGTGAAAAATCTTTTTATATTACACATATTATCCGCATTTTTCCCGTTAAACTGCAAAACTTGTGCATTTCACTCTTTATTATAAAAAAGTTTCCCTAAGTATGATATAGCATTTGCGATCAACAAGATGTTGGTTCTGAATACGACCCTGGTCAATTCTTGGGATTTTCAATATCACGTGCGTAGGGCATGTCAATGTTTACATCCACTCTATCTTGGATTTGAATTTGCTTTAGTTCTGCCTAATTCAGCTTCTTAGAGGAAAAAAATCCATGTCGAAATTTCCTCCAAATGTTTATTGAGGCATATTACTCATTGTTGTCGGCGAAGGTGTGCACTTTACGGCAACTGATAATGGAAAAAAAATGACAAATGAGTTGTCATTGAGAAAGCAACATATTGGATTTCTGGTCTCTTATAAAGGGTCTTCAATGTACAGCGTTAATGGTAAAGATATCCCCTAATGAACTTGCACATTGGTGCAAGTTCATTAGGGGATTTTTTTGAATAAGATGATGGGTAATTAATCAGCACCAATAGCTTCATCAATGTTGAACTTTCAGAATTTAAGAAGTGATATTTGACATTGATATTGATATTTGACATTGATTGAGTGATAGTGGAAATCGTGGGTATTTTTTTTCTTGAAAATCAAATATTCAGGTAGATGCGAATTGAGCGTAACCTGAGTAAATATGTAAATACTACGCTCAACGATTTTATTATTTTTTATCTGATCAATAACGTACATTGATTAGGAGAGTGGTGTGATGACTGCTACCTAGGACTTTCCGAATTATATTTTAGCTTTTAGTACATTATCTACATCATCATCATCTTTTTTTTTCAATAAAACTGTTAAACATTTGTTACTCATTTTATTTCATCTCCTTATGATTTGCTTCCTATACATTCCGTTATATGTGTGCTCAAAATCCATGAAGAGTGTATATTCATAACAGATTACTTGAATTATTTTAAGGAAAGAATTCTGGTCTATCACAGATCGGTTTCGTCAAAGACCTGTTCCAGTTGTATTTTCCTTATACTCACAAAGCCTGTTCAGCACTCCTGCTGCTTTTATCATTGTCGATGTTATTGCTGCGGTTCCTTTATTGCTTTTGTTATTTTTAAACGTTCAATTGTTCTATTAGTTACTTTCTTTCTTGTAGGTGCCTCTATAATAAGCTCAAATTCTTCCGTGTTTTGGCTCCTGTTCGTTCCTTCTTCTTTTGTGTTATTCAATAATTTTTGGATGTGTCACATACTGAAGTGTCATCTGGAGTGTATGTCCGTTCGTCTTTGACATTATCACGAAGTTTCGGAAAGATCACACTTGCCACATTCATCTGCTCTGCTTGATAATATCATTGTATTGAATAATATCATTTATTATAGTTGTCCTGAAGTTTGACAAATATCAAAGTGTTTTTTTGCATTGCGCCCACAATTTGTTATTTTTTGTCAGATTGTAGAAATCGAAAATACCCAAAATATCAACAAAACAGTTACTTCTTCTGAGAAGGATTCACCCCTTTGGTATTTTTACAAAAATAAAGATACTATTTGTGGTCACAATGATTTCCTATGCGAACATATTTTCATTTCCATTCTGACATTCCCTATTTTCGCGCTTGGCTTGTGGCGACAAACTTCAAATGCAGACTCTATTTGAACATATTGGAAAAACAAATACTCGTTAGAGCAATAGCCACGAATATCATTTAATTTCTGCCACTAGTCATGATGTATAAAGAATTTACATCAGTTCTGTAAATAGTATTATCTGTTTTACCTGCAATATCCCAAAGCTGCAGCCTCACGAGATTCTGGTCGTCCCAGTTGAGTACTTTCAAAGAAAAGTCAACACCGATTGTGGCTCTGTAGTGCTGTGAGAAAAACCGGTGAACATAACGCTTAATTATGGACGTTTTTCCAGTGCCTAGATCTCCTATTACCAAGACTTTGTATAAATGATCTTTGGGCTTATTAGGAGACTGATTTGCATTTGACTGAAACAAAAAAAAAATAATTATAGGTGATTCTTTAAAAGACATTTTATTGTGTAGAAGTAACAGTCTCTCGATGGTTTTTCTTAGCATATCAGGTTTCATAGTAAATTTTTGATTTTTGATATAAACGAGGTACAATATTGGACCCATCACTGTTCCTTGTGGTACCTCAGTTCCAACGAAAGTTCCAGCACCCAAAATTTGACCTATTTCAAATGCTATGTTCTATGTAATGTTCTCCTTTATTAGGTTTGAGGGTGTTCCTCAAACTCCATAGTATTTTAGTTTACTGAGAAACTTGTTATGCGAAACCATAGCGAAGTAAAAAAAATGTTGATGCATTGTGATGACTCACCCAAAGCTCTAACTGTGTGTTTCAAAAAATAATTTATCTTGTTATTAGTTTCGGAAAGGTAGCCTGTACTATCCTCCAAAGAACACTGGTGTCAGAGAAAGCTGATATCTGTAACTTGCAGCAAAACCACGATATAGTGTTCCTCGCCAAGCAGAACAATCCAAATACTTCAACTTCACATTTTTTCACTGGCAAGTGAATTATCTTAGCGACTAGAGAAATGTACAGGAAAATGGATTAACGCGGTCTCTCAGTCAAAAATCAAAACTCTGCTTTACTTTGCCAAAGTTTCGCTTCTAATAGGGAGCTTCTTCAGGGTATAAGACAGTGAATTAAACATGTGAATTGATGACAATGAGTGAACATGTTTTATTCACTCATTTTTACTGCCCTGAAGTAACTTCCCATTAGAAGCGAAAGGTTGGCGAACTAAAGCCATTCCCAATTTGATCCCAGCGGTAGTTCCGCTGGGATCAAATTGCCAGCGGTGGTTTCACTTATGTTTCCCTATAATCATTACGATAATCTGGAATTTTCATAACAATTACCTTTCGTTTTTTGTCTTTTTGGCCTCAATTCGATTTGTACTACGCAATATTCGAATGATCTCCAATAATAAATATATATATAGTTGATACAAATTCAAGCCTAAATAATTTTCAGCAATCAAGTTCCATGCAGTATTTGCCAACATAATTTATTGCAGGAATCAGTAATGAACAAACCAAAAGTTTCCATAATTGAATCCAATATAAACAGAACAAATGATAACATAATACGATTATTAATACATTCAAAACAAATAATTGGTATGTATTGTATTTTGATATAACTTATCATAATGTACAAAAACAACATTTGTTCAGGTTGAATTCAGCGGATTTGATCGCCATGCTGGGTACATGAACTACAAAGAAAACGTTCAGAACACGAAACTAAATTTCAATGATGATCCATCTTTATACATCAAACATTTCAAATTTCATTTTGGAGAGACAGATACAATCGTGTTAGAATTTGCATAAATACCAGAAAATTCAATCATACCACAGTTTTACTATCATCTAGTTGTATGTTTTGCAGTGAGAGTTGCAGAGAGATAGAAAACGATTGTTCATTCAACGGTCAATGTCGATGTTTTACTTTACAGCACACCGCTTTCAACTCAATCATTCATGTTTGATGAATAAAATTTATGTTTTTTATCTTCGTGAGAAAAGTGGCATTCACGTAGATTGCTTTGTATTCAAGTCAGTGAAGAATTTGTAACGAAGGGGTAGAAGGAATCAATCACCCCCCAAATAACTGACTATCGTGTTTGGTTTTTCTGTTTATTTCAATAATAATACCTAATAATAATAATACTTTTATTGCAAAACGATCAACACAGAAAACAGCAAAAGTCAGTATCAGGTTAACAAACTAGTTAAAATTTATTTACGAAATCTATAAATTATGGGGGATGAAAATATTAAAATATTGAGGTACAGTACAAATACAGCACATATACATGTTCATTAAATCCAACAATTGAAAGAACTTCTTTCAGGCCCATAATATCTTTCAATACTTGAGGTAGTGAGGTATATGCTTTGATTGCTTGGTAGTGTGGACCTTTCTCATAAAATATTGATTTATGGTAAGGGACAGATAGAGCTCATTTCCTTACAAATTTGACAAGCCCCCCGAAATACAATGAAGGCACTGTCAAGATATAAAGGTCAGAAAAGTACGTCCTACATGAAGTATAACGATCCAATCTTACTATACATCTTATAATTTTCTTTTGTTTCACGAATATTCTTTGAAGGCTTAATAAAAAGCCCCAAAATATGATCCCATAGAAAATAATTGAGTGAACATGAGCATAGTATCATGTTCTCATTATGTTCTGACTGAAACTTGGTCCCGTAGATATCGTATAACTCCACAGATGGAGTTCAGTCTACTATTCAAGATGTTTATGTGTGATTCCCAGCTGAGGATCGGATCTAATATAACGCCTAGGAATTTTAAATGTTGTTTTTTTATTCTGAAAGGTCTTAGGCCTTCTCCAACATTTAACTTGAGCATGTTTTCTTCACACCACATGCTCATAGAGTTCGGACATATTATTTCCTGTAACAACAACCGATGTGTCGTCAGCAAACTGATGTATACTACCAAGTTTCAATGCTTGAGACATATAACAAGAAGAGTAGGGGTCCGAAAATTGATCCTTGGGGTACCCCTTGCATGATACTAGCTTTGCTGGACAGGTATTGGTCTTGTTCATCCATGATAGCAACAACCTGTGAAAGATTTGATAGATAAGACTCAATAAGTATACGACTTACACCCCTAATACCGTTATCTTCTAGTTTGTTCAAAAGTTTTTCGTGGTTTACCGTGTCGAAAGCTTTCGAAAGGTCAAAGTACAAGCTCACTCCTATCCAAACTTCCCGTGATACGTTTAATTGAATTGAAAATCGCTTGTTCAGTGGACATATCTTTCCTGAAACCGAATTGCTGAGCATTTGAAATATTGTTTTGGTCTATAAAAAGTAGTAGATAGTCTGATACATATTACACGTTCGAAGATCTTAGAAGTTGACGGAAGATGTTTGGTTTTGAAATTCGGTTACGGCGTTGTTGAGTTATTGCACTTTTCCTTAAATATAAAGTTTCTTTTATCTAATTTTATTTC